TTGATTAAAATTATAATTAATCTTTAAAATTCTAATTAATCTTGGTTTATTTTAATTTTGTTTTGATCTTAATGTTGATTAATCGTGAATTTAATTATGGCTAAATCTTGATGAAATATAGGTGATCTTGATCATGTACATTTCCTTGTTAATTTTGTGAACTTTTGATTGATTTTTCTCAGTGATTGACAATTACTCTTGATATATGTATTTATGCTCTTGATGATTTTGATCTTCCATGCTCCCTCAGGGTTCTTGATTCGATTTTATCTTTGATAAATTAAATCAAGATAGACCTCAGAATCAATCTTTGGCATGATAACACTAGGATCATGTCCCTTCAACCCTAACCTTAGGCCCATTCTTATGATAGTATTAGGTTAGTCTTTTCCCTTTTCTATTAAAAAAAAAAATTCTTAATCAAAAATACAAAAAAAAAAAATGCTTAAGTATTACGATACGTATGGTATGTCACGAGTCTTAAGCTCATGGGAAAAGATGAGCGAAAGTTTTCCTTACCTCTTCTTTGGGTATATTGTACATGAGACACCTAGCTCATTTGTACGACGTATTCGCTGCTATTGTCATAGACTTTAGTGGGATACGTGTCTCAAATCATTTTTTATATCTCCTAATAAAACACCTCACAAATAATAATCTTTTGCACAAGTTTATCAAGTTGAAATAACTCACATCCTCTTGCACGAGTTTTGGACTTTCTTTCTAGATAATTTTTTTGTCAAATGATAGGCTAAATTTTCACGAGTGTTAACATGATGCACTCTAATAACTCATTTAAAGAGAAAGACTATAACAATTTTGTGTTTATGACAAATTTGTTGTCTCTTACCATTGTAATTACATTTCTCTTTTGAGCATAAAATTTTGTTTTTAATGATTCTGCTTAAAAATATTTGTAACTTTAAATTCATTGATCATGGTTCTAACCATCTCTTGAAGAGACCTATTTTTCATTTCTAGAAACTCATTTTTGCATGGAGTTCTATGACACAAAAAATCATGGAGAATACAAACTCATTCTCAAAACTTTTCAAAGGGCTCATTTTCAAATTCTTCATCGTGATGATTTGTGATTTTAAAAACCTTTATTTCGTTTTTGTTTTGAATTTGTTAGAAGAAAATAGAAATACATATTATGGCTCATCCTTTCTTCTAAGGAGTTTTACTCATGTCCATCCACTAAGTTCATTAACTACGACTAATTCATATTTATTTTCAATGACAAAAGCATTACCAATTGATACAAACAAGCCAATGTGAGGAAGTTCAATGGATCTAGAGGTTGAAACAATATTTTTATATTTAAAATAAGTTTTAACAATTTTCTTATTTTAACAAACTTTGGGAAGATAATCATATTTATATTTCAAATTCAAACAGGCATCTAACAAGTTTTAACTTGGTAAGTTTAGAGAATCGTCAACTAGCATATCCTAATTTCATGTGCCAAATCAATTTCTCTTCATTCATATACAAAAGAGATATCACCTTCGGTGCTTGTAAATAAAAAATAATAATTTTATGAACATTTTTTTCTTTCGCCATTGAACAAGATTGAGTCATATTTATGACTGATGAATCTCTAGAACTTTTTATTAAAGACTATGTCATAACTACTGTCTCTTAATTGACTTATGCTTACTGGATTATGTTTAAGCCCTTGAACAATAAGAAATCATGAAAAGAAGGAAAAGAGGAATTACCAACTGTATCAAAATCAATTATTTTTCCTATGTGGTTTCCTCTAAAGCCCATAGTTACTTCTTTCTTAAATGTCAAGCTCTGGAACATATGCATTTCTCCCATCATGTGTCTAGCGCATCCATTATTTAGGTACCATGATTAGTGAATAGTTGCTTCTTTCTTAAATGTCAAGCTTTGGAACATATGCATTTCTCCCGTCATGTGTTTTCCTCTAAAGCCCGTAGTTGCTTCTTTCTTAAATGTCAAGTTTTGAAACATATGCATTTTTCTCGTCACATGTCTAGCGCATCTATTATATAGGTACCATGATTAGTGCTTTAATCTTATTCTAAAGAAAAACATGCAACAAATTAATCATCATTTATCTAGTTATATGTTACTAATTTTAATTAAATATTTACTAATTATCACATGTATTATTGTTTATTTAAGTTTTTATCTAGAAATTTATGTTTTTAGATTATATTTAAATATTTGACCACTTCTACCTTAATCATGCTATATTAGAGTGTTTGGAGCTATTTTGCAGGTGACAAAAGTCAATAACTGGACCAAAAGTGGAATGAGGAATGCTGTCAATTTTACACACGCCCATGCCATAGGGCGTACACCCATGCAAAAATCCAGAGTCGAGTACATACGCCTAGGCCAAAGTATGTACGCCCACATAGAAACCAGGTATGTGTACCTACGCCCTGATTTTACTACTTACACGAATGCAAAAGTTTGACCTATATACATATGCCAAGGACATACTACATACATTAGTGTAATGCTTATGTCTGAGTATGTACGTCTAATCCATCGTAACTAGGTAAGTGAAAATTTTGGGCCATAGTACATACGCATAAGCCAATGTATGTATGTCCTCATATTGTAGTAGCGTGCACGCACGCCAATTTCTGAGTATGTACGCCTAATTTCAGCTATTTAAAAGGAAATTATATTTTTATGTTGGAGTTGAAAACACAGTCGAGGCTTGTAGAAGAAGGTGTTCAACGAATTTCTCTATTAAAATCTCAAGAAGATCTTCTAATTTCTTCCATTTACTTTATCTTTTTTTTATTTCCCACTGTTTGTTTTACTCTTTTCTTAAATAATACTAACACAATTAGCTTTTTCAGTAACAAAACTTTAAATTTAATCATGAATTTTAAATACCACAATTCACCACTCTCCCTCTTGTACTTGAAGTCACTTGTCCAACACAAAATTCTCACAATCTTAACATTCTAGAAAGTTTTTTTACAAGTTTGAATCAAGGATATAGCGTGTTTGTGAATGAGGAACTCTCATGATTTCTCTCAAGATTCTTGATAAAGAAGTATTTGGTTCTTGGTGAATATTCTGGGTTTTAATCAATCTAATTAAATTAACTAACTCTTGATCAAGAATAATTAACTAACCTTTTTTACCTTGAATGTTTCAACAATTTATCAAAAGATAAGAAAGGGTTTAAATAGGTGCTAGAGATAAAGTACAAAAGTGTAAGGTAAAATACAAGATGATTTGAGTCAAATCATGTTGTTGCAATTTGAATCAAAGAAATAATTATTTGAATTAAAGGTAGTAAAGTGAATAATTTTTTATTTTGATTTTAATCATGTGTTTGTTTCTGTGATTCGAGCCACTCAAGGCATGATTTTCAAAGTTCATTTTAAAGAACATTTTGATTTCCATGATTCGAATCAAATACCTTGTGATTCGAGTCAAGAAATATTGTGATTCAAATCACATACTTCCCTAATTCAAATCAGGCTGGCAGAGAAAAATTTTAAACTTATAAGCAAGTGTTTGATACGAATCATAACATGTCTGATTCGAACCAAGCCTCATAAAACCCTAATTATAGAGTTGATGTATATTTTGATAGTCCGACTTGATTGGTAGCTACTAGTAGCTATTTTACTGTTCTTCTTCAGGCATTCTTTCTCTAGGAAATCTAGGGACAATTTCTTTATCATTTACAATAGAAACTGGTTCAAAATGTATACCTTCCTTTGTAGAATATTGGTGAATTCACTAGATACCTGCAGTTTTCTCTTCTTAACCCTCCTCGACCCTTGCACTTGAAATCTATCTTCCTGTCTGTCTCGAGCTATGTTTAAATCAATCAAACTTATACTACAATTTGAGTATTCTATTGCGGCGTGACCTCTGGCGATGATAGGGGTGATTTTAAACTTTGCATCGGAGGTTCATTTTCTCTGTCGCGATAACATCATTTCATGATTTCTTTTATTTATATTTCCAATAGGGCGAGATCTGGCAGTATGAGATTATTATTGTTGCAATGTTTCCTTCTTGATCTCCTTAGTTAAGTAATCAGAATCAATGTTGGATCACGAGGTTTTGAGGATTTCTCTGGCGTGAAGTTATGGATGAATTCCTTTTTCATATTGTTAGTCAATCGAGATATGGCTTTTTGATCAAACGAGTTTTGATTATAGAATTTTGTGGGAACCAGTTGCCATTTCTCACAAAAGATATCACTGTTCCATACTGGAATCAGAATTGTGATTGATTTGCGATGTTAGACTTCTGATGCAGTGATATGAAACTCTATCGCGGCAACGCTGAGATGGATTTGTAAGGTTAACACTCCAACAATCATGTTAGTTACATAGTTCTAAAATGAATAAAGAAGTAAGTCTTAGATGAGAAAATATATCTTATGACTTACATATGGATGAACAATTTGAACGGGCTTAATACTTAAGCCTCGTCCGTATTAGGCATTTAGCTAACCCAGAACAAAGTGCAAATGTCAATGTACGACTTTTTTTTTTATAAAGGTTATATTTAATTCATAAAATTTGTTGTGATTTTAAACATATATAAAAAAGATATTTTTATCTTAATAATAAGTTAGAAAACTTATAAAAACAAATTTAGAAAAAATTAAGAATAATTTCTTAAATTATTTTTATAAATTCTCTCGAAAAATTTCACAACTCATAGATAAACTCAAATAAAATAATTTAATATATATTTTAATTTATTTTCTCTTGTTCGATATATATATATATAAGTTTAAATTTGACTTTAAAAAGAAATATGTTGATAACAGAAAATTTATAAAAATAAATAAATAAAGCTGTTAAAAGGTAAGTTTGCGAAGGAAAAAGTAGTTAATATAGAGTTGTTTTATGCTATTAAAAGGGAAAAATGTGTTGGAAAGTTTAACAGAGTACGCAATGTTATTAGGCTTTAAAACACAAAGCTTGTTCCTAATTCATTGTCTTGTTCTTGAAAACTTTGATCCTTGAAAAACCATGGACACCGTAACTTCCAAACTCTTGTTTCTCTTTTCAACTCTCTGTCTTCTTCATGCCAACGCAACCGATGTTCACTATTGCGGTTATTTCTCTCCCTTTTCGCTTTTTTATTTTATTTTATTATTATAATTATCTACTTTTTTAATTTTCTAAGTTTATTTCGAAGTTTTCAACTTTCGTATCATAAACGTTTCGTTAAACTATTGGGTTTCTTTGATGGTGATTTTGGATTTCGTCAGCTAAACTATCGTTCTTCAATGTTGAATGTTTATTTGTTGTTTGGGGTGGTTTTTATATGTATGATAATAGTTAGGGTTGAATTGGTAATTGAGTTGTTTTGCTTACTGGAATTGACTTAATGAATTGTTATTTTAAGTGTAGATTCCGTTAAAATAGTTAATTGGGAATGATTCTCCCATTTTATTAGGTCATTTTGGGATTTGCTAGGTCTCATATTTGAATTTCGAATTCCGCTAGATGCGAACAATCTCTATGATAGGCTAGTCTTTACATAGTTTTGTTTTGCCTTTAGTGGATTCCGCTAGTGGACGGTGGGATTGATTTTGCTAGGTGCTAACCATCCCTGCGATGGGTTAGTCCATACGGAGCAAAACTTTAAATGAGTCCCCGCTATTGGACGGTGAGATTGATCTCGCTAGGTGCTAACAATTTCTGTGATGGGCTAGTCCATACAGAGCAAGGCTTTAAATGAGTCCCTACTATTGGACGGTGAGATTGATCTCGCTAGGTGCTAACAATTCCTGAGATGGGCTAGTCCATACAGAGCAAGGCTTTAAATTAGTCCCCTCTAGTGGACTGTGAGATTGATCCCGCTAGGTGCTAACAATTCCTATGATTAGTCCATATAGAGCTTTGATCTGACTTTAAATGGGCCCCGTTAGTGGACGGTGAGATTGATACTGTTAGATGGTAACAATCCTTGTGATGGGCTAGTCTTTACGGAGCTTTGATCTGGCTATAAGTGGGCCCCAGCCAGTGTGATTGATTTCCTTGGACTTATCGGTCCCAAGTTTTAAAAATAAAATTGGGGATTTCTATTTGACAGTTTGCTGAAATTAGGGATTATTTTGACTGATAATTGCCATTTGGAGAACAATTGTCTACTAACTGGTTTTACAATTTAATAAATCAGTTTAAACTGTTTTGTTCTATCATATTTGATTTGTTTCTTTATTGAATAATAAATTATATTACCTGATTATTATGCATGTATGCCACAGATAAGAAAGCAAACTATGCTGTTGAGGTTAAAGGAGTTCAAATATCGCCTGATCCCATTGCAAGAGGCCACCCTGCTACATTCACCATTGCTGCAGCTACAAGTACTCCTTAACTTTATATGTTTTTCTTATGTTACCGTGCTTCCATTCTTTTGTTTTTCAAATTTTGATTCTTTATATTCCATTTTCATGCATTTGGTGTCTCTTTAAGTAACATGAATCCTTCTGCTATTTTTACTCTTTTATTTGTTTACTCTAATAAGCATGGTAAGTAATGCTTTAGCTACAAGTGATGCATTATGTGTAGAAATAGATGAGATTTTGATGAATAATGCATCGGCCATCTTTTGTCTGATAATCCAATCATTTCATGACCCAGGTAAAGATTTATCAGGAGGGAAACTAGTGATTGATGTGTCGTATTTTGGATGGCACGTATATAGCGAGACCGATGACCTTTGTGGAGAATCATCTTGCCCTATTTCGGTTGGTGATTTTGTGCTTTCTCATTCACAAGTTTTACCTGGAATCACCCCACCTGTAAGTCAGTGTTATCATTTTCATTCTTTGAAGAGATTGTGTTTGTGTGTGCATACATTTTTCGGCAATATGAATATCTATATATGTTAGTCGATTGTGTTTGTGCGTGCATACATTTTTCGGCAATATGAATATCATGTGTGTATGTAGCTCTTAACATATGTTGCAATTACAGGGTTCATACTCATTGAAGATGAAGCTATACGACGGAAACAAGAACGAGTTGACTTGCTTTACATTTGGTTTTGATATTGGGTTTGGTTCTTCTGTGGCTGATATGTAATTGCAATTGGTCATTGATATCTATGCTCAGATGCATATAAGTTAGTTTTACAAACTGCAAACTACCATTGTAAGATCGAGTACCTTGTATTATAATTCAGCTCAACCGGTATGTGGATTAAGAATATAAAATATGTTGTGTAATTGCTGAGATTACATGATACAAACTGCATGTTTTTTTTAATTTATTTTGTTATTTTCTGTTTGTCTATTCTAGACAGCGATGGAATTAGGGATGTACATGGATAACCATTTAATATGAACCAATCCATTTTTATGGTCATGGTTTATAAACCAAACCACTTATTCTAAATCGGTTTAAAATCAGTTCTAAATGGATTTTGATTTTAACCCAAATTATTTAATTAAATTTAAATTTAATTTTTTTAAAATTATATCAATTTTTAAATTTAAATACTTAGATTTTAATATATTTTTTCTTTAAAAATAAATATTAAAAAAATTTAAAAAACAATTTAAAAAAAATTTACAAATAAAAAATATTTAAAAAATAAAAAATAAAAAATTCTAAAATAAAATGTTTTAGCAAATTATATAGACTAAAAATGATAACTAATATTTATAATACATATATTTGTATATTTTAAAACTTATATCTATTGTTAGAGAAATCTATAATATTTATAATTATTTTTTCATAAAGTTTTAATGAACTTTGAGATTTATAAATGAAAACTAGAGTCAAATTCAACAAGTCAAATTTTGGTATATTTTCTTGTTCATGCCGAATCAAACTTGATGCACTAAGACTTATATAATTAATTACTGAAAGTTCATATAATTAACTGATAAAAGTCCATATAATTTGTGAAGTATTAGTACATCATTTTAGATAGTTAGAAAATTTGTAAACCATTTTTTTTCATTTTGAAATACAAAATTTTGAATCTTTTGGTTTAAAATATAAAATTAGTTTATAACGTGTATATGATAAATATGATAAAATATGAAAAGAGATAAAAACATATTAATTTGACAAATAATTAAATTTGGATAACCAATAACTAAACCACCTGGAAACCTGTTTATATTTGGATAATAAAATGGATAACCAAATTTATATTTTAACATTTGGTTTGGATTTTTAAAAGTGGAACAATTTGGATACAAATTTGGTTAACAATAACCTGTTTTTTTGCACACCCCTAAATGAAATGATATATTTCTTCTATTTGCATACATTTATTTAGGTTAACAAGATGTGTCAACCATCAATGTAAAAACTAAATCAGACAATGAACCAATACGAAACTGTGATTGAACTGCTAAATTGATTGAATCGGATTAAAGGCCGGTTTAAAGTTTAACAATCTGATTTGATTTTTTAAACATTGGTCCATGGATAGCAACACATAGCTCCAAACCTCCGAGATAGCAGGATGACTGTTGTTATCGTAAGCATTAAAAACTAAGTGGAATACATAAATACTTAAAATAAGTATTAATATACATAATGTTTGCCTTAAAAATATGAGTTGCAACAAACATAAACATCACCATCAATATAAGTTCCCACTAAAATCATTATATATGTATTCGAAATGACAATCCAATTATAAATGTAAACAAAATGACTAAATCACATTTACATATATCTCATCTTCACCTAAATTCAACCACGTTTATATCTTCTTGTTTATCAGTTGATTCAAATTTTTCTTCTTCCACCTCCAATTTCTCATCTCCATCTTATTTATCACTTGATTCAAATTTTTCTTCTTCCACCTCCAATTTCTCATCTCCATTAGACACTGATGTAGCAAATGTAGAGTGATGTCTAATAACTCTTACGGTTGGTAGTTTGTGTCACACTTGTAGAAGATGATGTCATGGTTGCTAATAAAGAGAAACAAAGCAACAAAGCAAAACAAAGGAGAAATCAATTCTGAATGGATGATAAAGATTAAAAATATAGATGAATAGGTGAAAAGTGATGATTTTGGAAGAAAGATGGATGACTTGTTGATTTGCAAATAAGAACGTTTTGCAAATATGGCTTTTTGAAATACAAGCACGTGAGTGAAGAGGGAACGACAAAAAATACGTGAAATGACCTAAAACAAACACTTCTGTTTTTATTTTAGGTCAAATAAAAGGGTCAAAATACTAATTTGACCTTCAAAAATTTGAATTTACAAACTTATCCTAATCTTCACAATAGCGGTCTACAGAACCACGAAAGCGCCATCATGACGTCACAAATAGTAGTTGTTATTCGCGCTATCGCAGAAAGTGCTTAACAGTCCAAAAATGTCGTAGTGAGACCTAGTTCTACTATGTATGCCACTATAGCATGCTATCGACAACCTAGGTTAAGTTATTATCTAAGGATAAGAATGAATATGTTGTTTCTATTGAATATGTATTTGTGTTGGAGTTTGTTTGAAGTCACACATTGTTTAGGTTTCCAGACTGTTGAATGTATAAATAAGTAAGGACAATCTCGCTCTTTGAGTTAACTTTTAGGGTGAAATCCAAACATATTTAACATGACGTTAGAGCTAGGTTAAGGAAGGACTGCAATGATGACATTTTATCGAGACCCGTGCTACGAGTGAGGGGGTGTTAGAATTCGTGTTTGTGTTGTACGAGTTTGTTTGAAATCTCAAATTATTTAGGTTCTAACTTTTGATTTGAGATCTAAAATATTTGAAATCGCACATTACTTAAGTTCTAGTTTTTAGATTGAGATCCAAACATATTTGAAATCTCACATTACTTAAATTTTGAAACTGTTAATATAAATGTGCGAGAGCAATTTCACTTTTTAAATTTTTAATATAAAATTCAAACATTCAACATTCATCTTAATATAAGATAAAAAAATTTATACATAGAAATTTACTGTCATTTCATTTAGCCTCGATTTAATCATGGTAAAGTAAATAAATATTTTATTTAATTATAATTTAATATTAACAAATATTTTTATAAAATTTTATTTAATCATAATTTAATCATAATAAATTTTAAAATATATGAGATAGTTTATTTTGCACGCTCTCCGAAACATCTCAATATAATATTTATTCATTGGAATTTATAGTATTCATTCTAAACATGTAAATATATAACTTTGTTTCCCTACTAATTGTGTCCCCTAACATGTACACAAATGACAAAGGATAGTACATTAATAATGAATCATGACCATGGGAACACTTTCTCTTTCATGCCAGATATCTATCATATGTGGTCCTAGAAGCAAAGGCAGTTACATTACATAGAGTGGTACCAAACTAACTGAACCATGTGCACAATTGGGATTTAGGCTGGCAATGTGAGTTGGAATGTATATATCCAGAGTGTAATGAAAATGGATTTGTTAAATGCCTCCTCTTCTTATGTTCATTCTTCATTTGCCTTCAATTTCTTGGTTCCCATGTTATATATAGTTTCGAATCTATGATTTTTCTAAGCTTTCTCACTAATGTCTTTAGAAAATATTTTAAAGAGAAATGACGATGTAAAATAATCCAATAAACAACGTGCATGCCACCATATTGAATACCCTAAAACACGGTTTTCTGCACTAACTTACATATTCATTAAACTCTCTTTTAAAACCTTTCAATATCTTAAAACCTTTAAGTTGGAAAAGATAGTTATCATCTCTTCCTAACACTCTTATGTGCTTTTTCATAGATATTTTCTAAAGCACAAAATTAAATCAATGATATTTATTATTAAAAAGAACTGTTTTTTAGAAACTAATACTAATCATTAAATGTAGTTTACTAATTTTCCATTTTCGAATGATAATTAATTAATATTTATAGAAGAATATTTATTTCAGTTTAAAAAAAAAGTAACATAATAAATATAAGACTCTAAAATTATTCTTTATCTTTTTTTTTTTACTAGATCGCCTTTAAATTTTAAAATGTCTTAATTATTTTTTATCTATTTTCTTTTAAATATGCTACCGTCTATATTATATACTAAATACTCTAATAAATTTGTAGAAGTATATTAATAGTCAATAAGTTTAATATCTTAGGGCCCGTTTGGTTTAACGGAGAGGAGGAGAGGGGAGAGATTTTAATAAAGGGGAAGGGAGGGGAGAGGATGTATTTTAATTAAACGTATGTTTGGTTCATAAGAGAGGGAGGGAAGGGGAGGGGAGAGAGAAGTTTTATTCAAATATATGTTTGGTTCCCAAAGAGATGGGAAAGATTTTAAAATTAATTTACCTTTTTACCCTTAAAATATTATAACAATCATGCTAAATAAATTTAAATAAAAAAAATATTCATAAAAAACGTAGATAATTAAACACAAAATATTTAACATTTAAAATACTCTAAAATATTTTGATGATCAATGATCCATTTAATCCTATAACATATTTATAAGATTAAATTCTACATAATATATAACTCATACTACAATTATATATTGATATGTAATATAATACAACAAATTATAAAATAATTAAGTTATTACAAGCAAAATATTAAATAAAAATGAATAGAATAAAACACATGGAGAAAAAGTTGAATCATAATAATAAAAATAATGGAGTTGCCATTAAACAAATGAAGGAATTATAATAAGGTGACAAAATTATAAGGTATAATATTAATAAAGACAATTAAAAAATTTATTAAATAAAAGTGAGGATAATTTTGTCAATATAATAAAAATACATGTTATCATAACTCCTCTCCCTCCCCTCTGAAAATCTCCAATTTGGGAGGCACGGAAAATTGCTCTAGGAGGGATTCTGATTACCTCCAATCTCCTCCCCCCTTATAAAAAATTGAACCAAACACATCTATTTTAAAATATTCCTTCCCCTCCCCTCCCCTCCCTTCCAAAACCCCCAAATATTTTATATTTAGAGATGATATTGATAAAAAAAAGGTAATATACTTTAAAATTTAAATATACTCTTATGAAAAGAGCTAAACATATTTCAAGACTGAGGTACTGTCTATTGACATATTTGGTTTCACTTGTGAAATTATCAAATGTTAT